CTCCCCCCCCCCCTCTCTATATATATATATATATATATGTATATATATATATATATATAATCACCCAAAATTGAAAACATATACAAGCTAGGTTGTCAGTCAAGCAATACTACTAAAGACTAGCTATACCAAGATAGCTCCAAAACAATTCTACCATCCTCCAACATGGCTCTCAACATGAACTCCTCCAACCTGTTATTGCTTTGCTCCAATGATCATCACAATTCAATCACGAGGAAATATGAAAGGATAAGCTTGCAAAAGACAACACAAAGATATGCAACTTATGCCTGTTTTTCAACTTAAACAACACAGCCAAATTTCAACTTACAACACAACCGAGCAACTTATCAATATTTTAATTTAGCATATGAATAATACAACGTATAAACACATGCATCATGTGTACGACATAACAACTCACTACAAAAAAAACGCGTTAATAATGGCAGTTATAATTGTAAATAATGACATTTATAACCGTCAATATATACATGTGTGACGGTTCCGTGTAGCGCCATAATTTATGCCGCCACAGAGTAAAAAACGACGGTTACAAGCGCACCGTCGCAACACCCGCCATTTAATACATTGTATAAAGCAACGGTTTAGACGTGTAAATAATGACAGTCTAAAATGTCATAAATTACACAATAAAATTAATTATATAAGTTCATAATGACAATTTTGAGCGCCATTATTTCCATAATAATATGGCATGATCAAACTGCCATTATTATAACAATTTGTACATAAAAGTATGACAGTTCTAACTGTCGTAATTTTCAAATAAATAATTTTTTTCAACATAAATTTTTAATTAAATATTTTAAATATTAAAAACACCTGTATATTTAAAATATGATAATTGTGTGAAATCGAAGTAATCAACAACTCTTAAAAAATTCAACCAACCAAGTTCATTCAATATACTTCAACTTGTAATAACAAAATACAAAACATAAAGTTGATTCATTCATTACTTGTACCAGGGAAAACATAAATAGTTATATCAAACAGAGTCAAAGTACTTCATAAGTTATAGATTCATTACATAAACTAAAGTAACATTTTCTAATATATTAATGTGCCTAACTAGCCTTCCTTTAGCTACCCTCATTATCACCATTGCTTCTTCTTGATGATCCTCTTATGTTGTTTGGTGATGGAGCACCACTTCCAACATCTGATGCCTGAAATAAATAAAAATAATTTTATATTAATTAATTTCAATCACGTAATACAATAAAACTAAGACAACATATGCACATTTCTTAACTCAATCATTTTCAACTATTTAATTATATACTTGATTAAAGGCCCTTCAAAATCATTTACCTTTGCTTCTGTCCTCTGCTAGTTTACCATTGCTTATCCGGTCAAGTACGCGTTCAACATAGCTATTGATTCAAAAACAAAATAGAAGGAATATCAAATATGGTATACGTAGAAGATACTCCATCATATTAGGGGCAACTACCCTTTACCCCAACAAAACTGAATCTTCCTTGAATCACCTTTTTCCCTCAGACCCATCACAGAAACACTATTACCATTACCAATTCCAATTCCAAGCACAAAACAATACCATTAAAAACACGGAAGAGCAAGACCAAGCAATCGGAAAAAAAAAATTAAAAAAAAAATCTCCAGATGCATAAATTAACATAATAATTATTTAAAAAGAATACCTCAACACTTTAATTAGCTAAAACATAAAAGTTAAAAAAAATAAATAAATAAATAACCCATTAAACACATAACATTCTCATTCCTCCATCCACGACCCTCACAGACAACAATTAATTCAAACAACATTCAAACTAAAACCAAACACAGCAACATCAACATCAAGCTTGAAAAACCAACAACTCGTTAGTCTGAATACTAATCTAAGCAGTACCCAACTCGGTTTCCTTATACAAGTTCTCTGGTTCGAATCTTGTGAACGGAAAAAACGTTATTATGAGGGGAGACCCTACTAATGATAATAAGCCAAGTTTCCCAATCTGGTGGATACTTTGTACCAATTAAAAAAAAAAATCAAGCTTAAAAAATGAAATTAAAAAAAAAAAAGTACCCCATAACATTGAGACGAAGCCTATTGCTCAATTCCACGAAGAGTTCAAACATTTGGCCCAAATCCGCAGCATTACCGTGTGAGTAGAGCATGGTGCAGGTGGGCCTATGGTACTTAACGTACACCGCCACGATTTCGTTACCTCGGCGCGTGCGAAGCTTCAGCACGTCCACGTTCTCCTTCATCGGCACCTCGGGAATGGCGAGCCGCGCCGCCGCCGCCGGAGACTCCGCACCCTCCACCAAATGCAAGCACTGAGATTAATATATTAAACAAGAAATTTACAAGTTAATCTACAATGAACAAGAATTTAATAAAAAAAATCCCCACAATCATTTATCAATAAATCTAGTTACGCATCCGCAAAAACAGAGACAACAAAGAACCCTAGAAGTAGATTTTCCCGAAGAGCGTGGAGGCGGCGGTGAAGAGGCCGGCGAAAGTGTGGGCGTCGGGGAGGGTGTTGTGTGCCATCATGCTACGGAAGAGGCGAATTCCTTGAGCAATTGGACGGCGTGGTCGAGGCGGGAGGCAGAGGACAGCGATGTCGACGGTAGCGGCGTCGGGGGCGAGGCCGGAGGAAAGCATGAGGTTTAGGGTTTCGTGGATGGGGGAGAGGGATAGGGAGTGGGAGGAGGCGGCTGGGTTTACGCTAATGAGTGAAAGGGGGAAAATCAGGTTCTCATTTCTACATTTTTCTCGTTAAAATACTGACACTTATAAATGTCATATTTTGAATGAAAATAATGGCAGTTTTATAACTGTCGTATTATAAAGTAAATAGTGGCAGTTTTTTGAAACTGCCATATTAAATCCGTCATATTTAATTAGTTTTTTTGTAGTGACTATATGCGTCGTTACACATTCAACTAAGAGATCTCTTACAATACAGGTGAATAGTCTAAGTGGCTTGACTCCGCCAAACCAACTTAACAATGTGATTTTTTTGAGTTTGCTAGATTAAAAACAAATTTGGATAAAAATCCATAACACTATGATTTCTCGAATTTCGCCACTTAAACTAAAAAAGTTCAGTATTCTTGTCAGGTTAGGATAACTTGGGTGTGAGCCTACCATGATCTTAACATGCATAACTAAGCCTATTAAAGAATTAGTATGTTGACTTCATTGCAAATATTGCACCTCTTCTAGTACTTAGATATTATAGTCCCTAACCTTGTTCTACTTGATTTGGTCACTTTAAACATATATGGCTTGACCTGACCCCCATATGAATCTTCAATTAGTCACTTATAATTATTATATAGCTTAACTTGACCCCCTGTACTATATCAACAAGGACCTAAAGGAGACTCAACATTATTTGGCTTCAAAAGTCAACTTCTCAAGAAGGATTTTTCTACAACTGGACTCTCAAAGCATTATAATACCATATTTTCATAATGGAATATTCACATTTTAAAAACAATTACTCTCCTCTTATCCTAAGTCGATCAACACAACTTAACATCATGCCTTAAGCATTCTCAACACCACAACTTTCAACACTACACAACATACAACATTACTACATTTCCAACACTTATCAATTCCCAACTTTAAGCAACTTAAATGCTAACATACATCATCGTAGATCAATATCCGAGGAAGTATAATTATGCAACAACATACAACATGTTAGCAATTCAACTTATCACATACATGCATGTTCAACACTTAGCTTAATAATAATCAATCACTTTTCATTAAGTAACTAACGTTTGACGCTATTTTTCCTACACCTGGCGTTTGAGGCAAAAAGCTTTTGCCTTGCCCATACTTAGTGCCAAACTACTTGTGTCAAACGTGAATGAGACAGAGAACCTTTGTGTCAATCACACCTAGCGTGACCAAACTCATGCTTGACCTCGTTTAGGTAAAGAGTTGTCTGACTCATGTCTGGCATCACCACAATGACGCTTGGCATCGTCTAGGCAGAAAGTTTCTATCTTGATCATGTTTGGCATCACTCAATTAGGGCCCAGTGTCACCAAGTTAAAGAACTCCAAGGGTATCCATGTCCAACGCCTTTCAAACCACATTCAATGTAATCAAGTCAGAGAGCTTTCCTCCAACTGACGTCTAATGCTACCAATCTCGTGTTCAGCGTCAATGAGACAAAGAGCCTTTGGCCTGTATCACGTTTGGTGCCATGAAACTATGTTTAATGTGATGATGAATTCTCCACTTGACAAAATCACGTTTTTTGGTCAATCCACTTAAAACTAAGAAAAATCCCAACATGTAATGCACCAAATAATGTTCATACATCATTACCAATTCATTTTCATCAACAAAAACAACATATATATAACCATCCAATACAAGGTTCACAAAATTCATCTCAATATGCTTAAGAACACCAAATCTCCCAACACAAGAATTCCATTTCCAATCATCAACACAACCACAAACAACCACAATTTTAGTGAAAATCAAACATTTTACAACTCTGCAATCCATTAAGAGTCCAAGTTCTAGCTTCTTTTACCTCAAGTCTTCTAAAACCAAGGTAGAAGATGGGAAGAACGAAAATCCTCCAAGACACCACATGACTAATCCACACCTCTAATTCTCAACTTTGGAAGCTTTGAATCTCAACTAAGTTTCCATTGATTTCGGAGAAGGGATCCTAGCACTCTCTTGAGGTCTAATAAGAAGAAGAAAATTCTAGTTCTAGAGTCTCTCTCTAACTTATCTCTAACTTTATTAAAAAAATAAATTTATGAAGTCCACTTTTAAAAAAAATATCTTATATACCTTCCCAGACTAGTCAACTTGATTGTTGCTCAAAATAACTATCAAACAACAAATCTCATTAGGATTATTAAATCTTTAGAACCAAAAATAATTAATCAACTAGTCACAACAACATTTAAATTAATAAACACCAACAATTAATAACACAATTCACAAAAATCACCTTGTTACATGTTAAATGTTAGGACACCTTGTTTCTCTTTACCTTATTTTTACTTTTATTTTATTTTATTTTAATTTATATTATTTCTTTTTTTTTTTCTTCTTACCAACTACAGTACCATTAATGACTTTAACAGATTTTCTTTAAAGTATTTTAAATAAAAAATCTTATTTCATAATTTTCTAACGTGCATTATCTTGAAAAAAACAATTTAGATTATGAACAATTTTGAACACCACGTAAAACTAAATTGCATCGTGTATATATATATATATATATATATATATATATATAGCCATC